AGGTGAGATCAGGATGGTAATTATAAATTTTTTTTTTTAGAAAAATATCAATTTTTTTAGTTTTTACTATTTATTATTATTATAGGGATAGGCTTACGATAAATAGTGTTTGATAAGAGTTAAGTTAAATGAAAGATACCCTTTTATAGGGCCCTCTTTATAGCTTAACTTAGTTTGGCATTGCCTAAGGACTGCATAAAACGGGGGGAAAAGAGGTTGCAAAAGCAAAATCGATGATATATATTATTTATTCAAATAATATGCGAAATGGAGGATAGAGTACATAGCATGAAACATACTCTAAGTTTAAAGGCGTGTTTATTTTGTCATTCAACAAATCTTATAACATGAATTTAAAAATTGTATTTTTTTTATCAATCCTTTTTATTATTCATTAGATTATTATTTATTTATTGTTATTTTACTTGATAAAACGAGAATTGGGTTATGCGATATAAAGGATCTCTTACCTTAATATAAATATAGTAAATTTACTCGGCCAAAGCTATGATAATGACGCTAATATGTGAGGAAAACATAAGGAGTTCAAAAACTCATATTAAACTTAAATCTACACCTCTGGTTTTAAGCGATGCTGCATGATTCAATATAGATACTTCTCCATTACTTGGCATAATTCAACATCTTTACGTTTTTTCCTGCTCTCGGCACCTATAGATTGAAATTAAATTCTTGCCTTAAAAATAGTTTTTTATACTAGGTGAGCCACTTATTTATTAAAATTGTTTCAACGAATGAGAATCACAAATGGATTTAAGTTTGATATGAGTTTTTAAACTCAGTTATGCTTTTGCATACTAGCCGCTATTATCGTAGCTTTTCCTCAAATTGTTTACTATATTTATATAGTAATTTCGATTGTAAGAGGCAGTAAATAAATTTTTAGAAAAATTTTTAATTTTCTTTGTAATTAATTTTTCAGATCCATTTCCTTATTCATGATTACAATATAAGGCATAGAAGGTAGAGTTTTTTCTCATATTTTACCACTTAAAAATAAATTTATACATTATTTTTAATATAAAATATTTGTATCAATCTAATCTATCGATAATTACCGCCAAGTTATTAAATTAAGCAGAATTTCATATTTAATCGAAAAATGTAATGTCCCATATAAATAAATAAATATATATATCCGTATAAATTTATATGGTTAACAATAAACTTTAAATATCACCTTATCGTGTATCAACCCAACCTCATAGGATTTTCCTAGTGATGTTAAAAGTTACTTTTGAAACATAACTAGTTACAGTTACTAGTTACATTGGCAAAAACATAACTAGTTACAGTTACTAGTTACATTTTTACAAAAGTAACTAGTTATTAGTTACAGTTATTTTCAAAAGTAACTAGTTACTTACTTTATACATCATTCATATGCGCATTATTTATTTATTGACATTTATTTAATATAAAAAAAAACAAAGTATAATCAGTTATTAAATAATATACAATTTATTTATATAAAAAATATCGCAAAATTGAATATTTACATCGAATACAAAAATATATATTTGCATTGAAAAAAAAACATTTATTTTTCATAAAAATTAGAATCTAATAAATGTTTATTTGCTTTTAACAACAAATTAATTTCAAAGTTATTATCTAGAAGACGTGCTCGTTTATCTCCAAATATGAGCTTACCTAGACTGAACAAGCGCTCTACGGGAGCACTTGATGTTAGAACAACATTATATTTAATAAAGAGTAATTTTAACTTTGGAAAATCGTTATATAAAGAAAACGTGTTGTTATTAGATTTGATAAAGTTTTCTATAAGTTCATTATCCAGAATATTTTGGCGCTTTAGGTCAAAAAATCTAACTACATCAAGTGATGTTGGTTTTGAGCATGATTCATTCGTCTGGGATTCACTCTGAGGTATTAAGGTATTTATTAAATTTAAAATTTCCTCCTTTTTTGCTTTATTCCTTTCTTGCCTAATCCAAGGCCAGTCAGTTTTAAATAAAGGGTGAAGAATTGAAGCAATGATGTTGTCATTATCATAAAGATTATTAAACCTATAACATGATATTATTAATTTATAAATAATTATTTGATTTAAGTTACCTTTTTTCAATACTAGCTAATATAGTATCCTTTAGAGGTTGACAATATTTTAATACCTGCACATCTGCCATACATATAATTATTTGTGTTATTGTTGGGGTATAATAACCCAGATACATGTACTTTTCACCTTCAAGAATATCAATGGCTTTGGACACTGGTCGCATAATCTAATTTTTAAATTGTAAATTTTTATAAGACTTTAATTTAAATTTACACTACAATATTCTTTTATAAAATCACGATCATCTGATGTGAATCTACACAATTTTAATTCATCACATAATGAATCAAATTCCACAGGCACTTGATTTAAGAACGATAATATTTTGGCCAGGGATTTATAAAAGGAACCCCACCTTGTTATAACGGGATATGGAAGTTGAGAATGTAATTTTTTTAAAATAAGTTCGGCAGATGGCCCAGATTTATTTTGGAGGTTCCACAAACGTTGGCATTTAGATATAGCTAAGTTATAAACTTTCCTATACCCCTCATTGTTTAAAAGTAACTTGTTGGCATCTTGTGTTGCCACTAAGTTTAATGTATGGCAAGAACATCTTCGATGCTTGGGAAGGTAGTCGAAGTCATTAATATCATAACTGGAGAGCCCAGAAGAAGACATTATATCTTCTATTGAGATATATTCAATATCAGAAACAGAATCTTCCTCCATTATAATAGATGGGCAGCTAAATACTCTAAGAGAAATAATTTATAAAGTAAATTAGTTAGGCATACCTAAACGCCTTTGAAAAGTTGCTAGCATTATCCGTTATTGTGCAGATATTTTTATTTTGGATATGGAACTCCTTAAAAACAGCAGTTAAGGCTTTGCTGATCACATCATATGTATGCCTACCTTGTAGTCTTTGGCAGGCTAGAATAGCTGAACGCCTTTCCAATTTCTCCACATCAATCCAATGCACTGTTATACCAATATAGGAGCTATTATTAATATAACAAAAGATAACCAAATGTATTGTGCACTTTAGTAAAAAATAATATTTACCGATTAAATGCTGTCCAGCAGTCAACTGTTGTACAAACATAATTAGGCTCTAACAATTTTTCTATTAGAATATCTTTCATTTGAACAAAATATTTTGATATTCTTGAGGTTAAGGTTTGTCTGCATATAATCTTCATATTAGGTTGCAGGGTGTTTATCAGCTCAACAAAATCTTCATCATCACAGGTTGTATATGGGTGATTTCCATTTATTATATATTTAATAATTTGTGAATCAAATTTATCTTTGCTGATACCTTTAAAATTTGATTTTCCACCAAAGTCAAGTTTAGTTTGTTTTAACTTACTTGATGTGGCTGAATTGTTTTATTTATTATCTATGGTTTGTTTTATATTTATGGATTGGTTAGGATGCTTTCTCTATAGATATATGTTTTATATATATAAATATTTAATTAATATTAATTATTGTTATAAAGTTAATTCATTTAATTATTCTATATAATATTAATACAATTTATATAAACTTACAGAGATATGTTTCCATAAATTAGCTGTGGATGACTTAGATGCTGCAATATACTTTTTATATGGTAGGCATAAGAGGCATTTGACAATAATATTAGTATTATTACCAGCCTTGTGGTATTCAAAATATTTTTCAAAACTTGGCCAAGGAAGGTCATTTTTTTTTGCAATTATTGTAGGAGAAAGTATAATTTCTTCATCTGACTCAGAATCCATATCCATATTGTATTCTGTTTCTTCCATCTAGGAGATAAATATAAATAGCACTATCTAAATTAGGAATAGAATAATCAATTAGAGTGAAACATACAGTTCTAAAATGTGTCTATTTTATATATAATTTGAATATAAATAAAATTCAGGCTAGACCAAAAAATAAATTTCAGAAAGCAATCATTTTTTTAAATTTGAGTCATGTTCTTATGCTTTTGTTAGACATGGTTCTTGTAAGTAATGATTAATAATTTAATATTAAATTCTAAAATAATCTGTCTTTGTTTTTCCTTATACTAAAAATTTTTTTTTATTACGTATGATATGAAGTTCCAATGCTTGTTACTTGACGGAAAAAAATATATTGTGCTACATTTGTAAATAAATATAATATTAAAATTTATTAAATTACTTGAATTTCCTTACAAAATTATGAAGCCCAGCAGCAATGTAACAATTTAAGAAAAGAAAATCAATTTGAACGGGAAATTATAACAATCAGACATTTTCACAAAATATTAAATTAATAAATTTAATTTAAAATTAATTTATCACAAATATCAAAAATAAAATTAATTATTTGAATATATCGTTAAAAGTAACTAGTTACTTTAGGCAGTTACATTTCAAAAATTATAACTAGTTACAGTTACTAATTACAATTTTAAAAATATAACTAGTTACAGTTATTTTTTACAGGTAACTAGTTACTTGTAACTAGTTACCTTAACATCACTAGATTTTCCATCCTATTCTTTTCACTTTCATTGATGATTTTGCACTCAAAAATATAAAAGAAGGAAAGGTTGGTATAGTTTATTAAAGCTGGAATAACTTGTACATTCAAGTGACAAAATTTTTAAGATCCAGCTCGTTATAAAACTTGACAGGCTTATATACGTTAAATAATCAGTCTAAACAAGCTTATATTCTTAAAAATCACTCGTTGGATGATGTTTTACCTGTTTAGTAAGTTTCTAAATTTTTTTATATAAAATTTAAAGTTAATATAGTCGATGATCGTCTCCACTAATGCAAAACTATATAACAAGTAAACCTCAGTCCGTTGAGATATCAAGAATTGGGGATAATCACCTCATCCCACCCTATAAATAAATTATAATGAAATTTGTCTATTATTAATAATATTTCTTTTTTATTTCATTTAATTTTAGCGATGTGCACCATATATTTTCGACTATTTTTGAAAAATACATTTCAACAAATTTCTAAATAAATATAAATATATTATAAAATGAATGGCATAAAAGTATCACAATAGGAAAAATATATAATAAAGTTATTAGAAGCCCTTCGGCGCTTTTCCTATATCTAATAGTAAGTGCGTATAAAGTGGGTATTCTGTTTTGTTAACGATTTTGTAGTTATTTGAGTTAAGACCATCAATTTGAATTCTCTGAATGCCTAATGATAGGAGTTTGTATCTATGAATAATAAAATATTATATTTATTATCTACTAAGTAGTTATGCTAAAAACCTCAATTTATGCAGATTTAAAAAAATGGCTAAATAAAGATTTTAGCCAAAAAATACTTACAGTTCAGTCAGTAGGGAGTGGGGGAAGCGCACAGGGACTTATGCCCCGTGAAAATTTTGAAATTTTTTTTTTATCTAAAAAATTGTCATTTTGAAAATGTTAACTAAAAAAATGTCGTTTTGAAAGTGGTAGCTAAAAAAGAGAGATTGTAAATGTTAGTGAAACCCCTGAATACCTAAGCCTTTAGAATTCGTCAAAAGAGGGCAATATCTCTTTGCCACCCTTTAACAAAATTTTAAAACTTTGGCAAAATATTATTTTGGCTAAGATATTGATTTAGCTGTTTTTAAAATGAGATAAAACAAGTTAAGCATTATGTGAACAGTTGAGCAGTATACCATGAATACTTGATTTAAGATACAAGATACTATTTGTATATATTTAAACTATTTAATAAAATACTGTCATGTATTATGCCTAAAGACTAATATACCCATTAAATTAACTTCATCCTGTGTAGTGGATTAATATATAAAGTTTATTTATCTCTTTCCCCCATTCCATTATTTAAAAAAAACTTTATAGAAATTGTAAAATCAAGAGTACCCAACTAAACTAGAGTACCACATGCTTGACCCTCCCATTATACTGGCCCGGAAGGCGATAAATGCATCAATAAAATATAGGCCCGACCCATAGCTCGAAAAATATTAATGTTATGTTTCCTTCCGGTTCTTCATAAAATGAATTTTTAAATTAAGAAAAATTTTAAAAAATTAGGGAGTGGGAAATATTTTATCATTTTCATATTATATTTTAAAATAAATAGAATAAAATAGATAACATCATTATATTATCAAAGTAATTATTGAATATTTAAATAAATGCACACATTAAAATGAAGAATAAAATGAATATTTTAAATTTTAGATTTCTTCCCTATAAATTTTTTTAAAAATTAGGACCATGGGGTACAATGGGCCACAGGCTTGGCCTAGATCTAAAACTTTCCACTGTGCCGCCGGCGAGCTCGGACCAAAATTTTTGATTTTGCAGTCTCGAAACTAAATTAAATCTACACACAAATGTAAAAGAAAACTTATCGGAAAAATGTTTTGTAATTAATTATAAATCTAAGATTGTACTTATTAGAAAAATAATTATCAACTCGCTTAGATAACCGTTTGAAAAGATACTATAATTGAATTAGTTTGTTAGAAATTTTTTTAATAAAAATTGTGAACAAGGATATATATATATATTATTATCAAAAAAAACCTTTTGTTTAAAGCGATGGGTGTTCTTTTAACGTGTTTTATCATTTGATAGCGTCCGATGGATTCATGTGGACGTGTTATAAATAAGTTCATATGCTGAATTCTTGTTACAGTTTGTTTGAATAAAAATTGTATATCATTTTATTACATTGCTTAATTTATATGATTTTTTTTTAAAACTTAATTAACGTTTCATTCAGTTACTTTAATGAGTATCTGGGAGTTTACGTTGTTTTAGCCTAAACCCTATCATTTTTAATCTGGGGAACTATTTATTATATACTAATTTTTGCTTTTTAAGTCTTGTCAGAGTGTTCAATTTTGTCTATATGAGGATTGATTACTATGATAAATTATATGCTAAAAGATGTACTAGATAAATTACAGCGTTGATGGAAAACATTTCCATATTTTTACGAGAAATAATTTTTTTGCAAATAAATTAAAAAATATGGAAAAATTTTCATTTAAACACCACTGTAATAGCATTTTAAAATAAATAAATACTATATAATTTTAAAACTTTTCTTTTGTGATAATCGAAATTGAATAATCCAAAATTAGATCTTATTTAAAATTTTAATTTTTTAAATAATGATAATGTGTTTAGAAATATAAAATTTTCTCGGACATTTCGCGTTAAAAAGGCAAAAATTTTGAAAAAACAGGAATATGGGTGACAGGGGTAAAGCGACTCTTTAACCCTTGAGCATTAAGACCTTAAATTTGGTGTGAAGATATTTTTTATATTTATCTTACCTATGGTTATCATTTAAAAAACTTTCCAGTGTTGTCATATTTTGCCAAAAAATCGTTTTTTACCCAACAATTTTAAAAATAACCTTCTAGTTTACTTTGCTTTTATAAAAATTTATTAAAATTTTGCATACACGTTCCATAAATTCATCTCATAATTATAAAATGAAATTTATCGAAAGTTCGTAGCTTACTAGAAGTCACGCAATAACGATGTGTATGTTATGGATAAAACGGTTAAAAAGTTCCGTGTGATTTAAACTGTAAAAAATTAATTTTTAAATATTAACGTCTACACCATGTAAAAAGATATTTTTGAGCAAAAAGGAACATTAATAAAAGGCCTGTTATTTGGAATTTTTTTTAAAATAGTGGCAAAGGAGAAGAATAATTGAATGGTACGATCTGCCTAAAATGGGCACATGTACATGTGCTATTTATATATATTTTTTTACATTCCAATACTGTATTGATTAGTTTATATTTAAAAGTGATGAATAGATGTTAAAATTGCAATATTTAGTTAAATAAAACAATAAAGTTGTATTCACATTTTGTCATGGTGCTTAGCTATTCTGTGTACAGTTTATGATGGCTAAATTTACCTAGGTATAGTGTAAGATGGCTCAAATGGAACACTTCGCATAATTAATCACAGTTCCAAGTACACAGCTACACTTTTTTTTCAATTTGTAGGTAAGGATTGGGCTACATATAAATTTATATTTGTTCTGTTTGTTTCAAAATTTTATAAAAATGTAAAATACCAATCGTTTCTATTAGGTAAAACCGATAAATGGAGAATTTTTATAAATTCTTGCAAAAAAAGACATACATATGTTATCAGATATGAAGATAGTGATTACGATAGTTTATTAATGTTATTTAAAAAAAAATGTTTTCCTTTACACAAATTGATAAATGAAATAAATTTATAATTCATATTGATCAGTAGATAAGATTGAAAAATGTAATAAGATATCGTGGAATTAAAATTGGAACTTGAGTAACTATATATAGTTCAAATATTACACTTAAGAGATGAATTGATTTTATCTAAATATACAAATATTGAATCTACTAAATACCAATCCTTACTTTTTATTTTTTAATCTTTTTGAGTTTTTGAATGCACCTTTTTGGCAGCCTATCAAGTTCTTAAGATCGCTATTGGACTAATATGTGTTAGTTAAAACAAAGTCTCCTATCATGTTATTAATTTACAAATATTATCATTTCTCAAATACAAGCTCGATTCTAAAGACCTTCTTTCGCAATATTCTATCGAATTAACCCCAATATTTAAATCGAGCTGTTGTTTTCTAATTATATTTATAATGTCTAATGTTTGAAAAAGTTTGACATCTGCTAAATACCATAGAATCACGGATCTAAAATATTTGTGCATCAGCATACAATAAAGTTTCCCTTTTCAGTAATTTATAATTCTAAAATTATTTTAATTTTTAAAATTATGATTTTTTTTTTTCTTGTTAGATTTTCTCCTAGGTTTATTGTGTAGAAAAAAGGGATAAGGTAAATTTTAAAAGTCAGACAGGGAAAGGAGAATATAATTTTAGGTTACTATTATTTAAATGCACAGTTTAGTTTTTTTTCTAAATGCACAGTTTTAAATTATTCAAAGATTTAAATTTAAATATCTGCAGTTATAATTTATTCAAAGTGTAATTTAAATATACAAATTAAGATTTCTCAATTTTAAATTTGAATGTACAACTTTTAAAAAAAAACCGTTATTCCTATTTCGAGGGAATCCTATTATTCAACTTTGGCTACAAGAGATTTTCAGATATAATCCAGTATATATTGAATGCTACTTTCTTATTTGTTTTTAAAATCTCACAAATGATATAACATATTCTACCATTAATAATATTGGTATCCCGTCTTTACAGAGAATCTTTTATAGAGAATGCAAATATAGAGAAACTTTTATAGAGAAAACAATTGTAGAGAATGTCGTTTATAAAGAATATCGTTTATAGAGAATGATTTTATAGAGAATTTATTTTATAGAGAAACTTTTAAAGAGAAAACAATTATAGAGAATGTCGTTTATAGAGAATCTCATTTATAGAGAATGATTTTGTAGAGAATATCGTTTATAGAGAATGATTTTATAGAGAATTTATTTTATAGAGAAACTTTTAAAGAGAAAACAATTATAGAGAATGTCGTTTATAGAGAATCTCATTTATAGAGAATGATTTTGTAGAGAATTTCGTTTATAGAGAATGATTTTATAGAGAATTTATTTTATAGAGAAACTTTTAAAGAGAAAACAATTATATAGAATGTCGTTTATAGAGAATGATTTTATAGAGAATATTTTACAGAGAATTGTTTTACAGAGAATTATTTTATAGAGAATATTTTACAGAGAATTGTTTTAGAGAGAATTATTTTATAGAGAAGGATTTTATAGAGAATAATTTTATAGAAAATGAAATAAGTAATATTTTAGAAATAAATTTTCTCAAAAAAAGCCAAATGCCGTCATATAAATTCTCGGAACCCTTGAATAGAAAAAGGGAAAAAATAATCATAAAAAAATTTATTCACGTTCCTGATTTGTATTGCTTATGAATAATTATGATAATATTTTTGAGTTTCCTCTTGTTATTTTTTTTAAAATACGCTGAACAATTAGAAGTAGTAATACTAAAATTATGAAAATGTTTCCTTCTTTATCAGTTTCTATTAGTGCTTTGCTTTAACTAGTAGAGTAGCCATTTAAAAAAAACTATTAGCAACAAAGCCAGCCTTACGCCAATTGTTTTAGAAAATTTTGTCAATATTTAGTTGCTTTGTGCATTATTTTAATCTGCTTGGCCCGGCCCCGATTTTTAAAAAATATATTATCTATTTTTAATTTGCCTAGATAATAATGGTGTTAAAATATTTGGTTTAAAAATATATGGCCCGGCTCGAGTTTTTTAAAAAAAGCTTTTTTTGACCCGGCCCGTGTATTTAAAAAAATTAAAATACGGCCCGGGTTTAAGGTCGGGCCTGTAGGTCTTTGATTTATAGTGCGCTTTTATAATTTCCCTAATAAATCTGATTTTACCAATTCCGAAGAGAATCTACCATGGGAATTTCATACGATTGCGCCAAAATATTTTTGTATTTAATAATTTTATTTTGTTCTATTTTTTCATTTTAAATCATAAATTGAGCGCGTTTTATTAAATTTTATATCTGATTTTGCCGAAAATGCATTATAATATGTGTAGAATATACCCACCCTATAAATTTCAGAAGATCTTATATTGAACTTCTGAAGAAATTTTAATTTACATTAATCTGAAATTTATAAGTAGTGTTAGTAGCCTAAAAATCAGCTAAACATAATTTGGCTTAACCGAAAAATCGCCTAAAACTAATTAGACAAATTGTAGGGACTGGGAGCTAGGCTAATCGCCCGTCAGAGTTACGCAACACTAAGCCTAGCCTTTATTAAAATTATTTTATATATTTATTATGTAACGATATATGACGGGCGATTAACCGACTCCTTAGCCGATGCCTAATTTTTGAATAATTAGTTTTCGCTATTTTTATGCTAAGCCTAATTATGCTTAAACGATTTTTTAATCTAAAAACTTGGCTAACCGTTTTGGAATTGCCTAAAATTAACCGATTGCGCAACATTAAGGGTGGGTATTCTACACTTATTCAGGTGCATTTCTGGCAAAATCAGATTTTTAAATTTAATAAAACGCACTCAATTAATGATTTTAAATGCAAATAATAACAAAAAATAAAACATTACCCATTAAACTATCGCCTTACAACATTAAGTTTAGTTAAAAGATCATTAGAGTACTGTCTAATATTCACAGGGTAGGCAGGGAAGACCAGGGGGTGGTTGGATCAATTTCTGTCAAAATCGTCATAGGTCCGAAAATAATTGTATCTGAATTTACAAAATACAAAATGATAGTTCAAACCCTTACCTAAAAATTATACATCGACAAAATTTAAAATAATACACTTTTTTCTCTAAATTGATTTTAGTAAAATAAAAATTTCTTATTACAAGCCTAAACTCCTTAGGAGTGTAGAGAAAGGTGAATCAAAAAGTTTAAAATGTTTTTTATAGGTTTTTTGAACTTGTTAAACATTCCGAAGATCAGACTTTTAATATTTATAAGAAATTTTTTATTTACATATAGGGATTATATTTATTGATACCAATTTGTTTAAATATGGTTGGTTCACAGACAAGCTTGTTATCATATGATTATAAGAAGCTTTGTATCATGATATACATTGATTTCCATCACATTGTAATGTCTTTCTTTAAAAAATATCGAAGCTTGATAT